TTGTTCATTGCTGGTGAAAATTCTGGTGAAAATGAAGAGCTAATCGTGGTGTCTGTGTTGAAAAAGAGTGTTTTGTAGCTGAGAATTTGCTCTATCAAATATCTGCTGTAGTTTCCCTGGAAATAAATAAGAGGCATTACTTTCAGGGTGTCCTATGTTTGTTTATATATGTATAAACACATACAAATCTTGTTGCTTTTGATTGTTTTGGTTTGGCTTATATATGATTATTATTTTACTTATCTGATTATTACCAGTATTTCAAAATTACTTAAGCTTGTTTTCTGATTACAGATGAAATTGCTATCTTAACTGGAAGACCAGACAATGAATGCAATAAATATATTCCTGTGGCCCTATCTTTTATTGAACTATTGAGTTGAGATTAAAAAGTGATGGGAATTCTTACTGACAGTTTCAAGAAAGTTAATAATTTCAAGCCTTTTCCCTGATCTATCTTGCAGAATCTTAACATCAATATGATAAAGACTGGTACACAATTAATCCCCCTTTTTATGATATATACATTTCTTTTAACCTATAGGGATATTTTAAATTCTGGAATGTTTTATGTAGGGATGGAAATATATTTCTCTCATATCAATGAACATAGTTGGTAGCCATAACAAGTCTAGATGAATTTGTCCTATATCTATACTGTCTCTTCCTTGTCTGAATAAAACAAAGCCTTGTTTATTATTAACATAGGATTTAGCAGGAGGATGGAAGTATTTTGAATCCTGCTTTATGTAGTAATCTCAAAAAAATTTTGGTTTCAAATACTGCAGCATGGCATCCAACTCGAAAATTGTGCCTTTTTGTTCCTATGGAGATTGCAAATCATTTCATCCATTTCATGAGGTTTTCTCTATCAGCACTTCTGGTAATTTGTGTCATACTCTCGCTGCATTGCTAGTTGATATCATTGGACTCTTGTCATAAAACAAAATGAAACAAAACAACAGAAACACAAAAATGAGCTATTATCTTGGATGTAATAAATCTCCTTGCTTTCCTGTCAAATGCTTCACTGACATGTTTATTTTAATCTGTATGTGTATTCTAGAATATGGTTGCTTTTTCTAATATCCAGAATTGTGAGACACAATTTATGACTAATTTCTTGATTTGAAAAGGCTCGGGATCATCACTCTCCATATGTACGTTGCTTTTGTTAGACCTGTTTTCTGAATTTAAAAGTTGTGATGCAAGTAGCCTTGAGATGAGGAATTTGGCTATGGATGACAAATGGGAATGGAAGTAATTGGAGGGAAACATGACAGAGAAGTTATTTCCATGTCTTGCAAACTCGGTATGGCACTTTACTCCACCTGTTCCCTTCTGGGAAGAGTATCTTTGAAATGGAATGAGTTAGGCTGTTGTACACTGGTAAAGACTCGTATTAGGAGGAGAAAGAAACAAGATATTTGCAAACCATATTGCAGGTCAACATGACTTATGCTGGACCTGTGTGTCTTCAGTTGAACTGGCCAAAAGGTAGAGTGGTTCTGTGCATGACCAGCAGCCAGTAGTGTAAAAAGCTGAAGTCTCCTGCCTGAGTCAGAAGAGATGGCAAGTGGGTATTTGTGTGTACAAATCCACATTTTCGTCTGTTTTCCCTTATCACTGTGACTGTGTTATCTATGTCCTTGTAGTCCAGTGACAGACTATGTTTGTATGAAAGCCACAAAGAGGAACCTTAAGGAATTAGTCTTTTTTTTTTTTTTTTTTTTCCAGTCTCATGCTTAATCATAGGGAGGAAAAAAGAAAAAGTTGTCATCATTAAATTAATCTTTACAGAACTGGAGATAAATTTATATAGTGTGTGACTTTGAAGAAAAAATTGTAAAAAGCATTTCCTTAGCAAATGGGAAAAAAAAGGACATTTAAAAACAACTGTGTGGATTTTTACACTTTTTTGTTATAAAAATGTGGCTCGTATTTGTATTGAATGAATGGAATAATTTACTACACTTTTTATTATTATCCATAACTTTTAATATTCTTGTATTAAACAAAAGTGAAGAAGCTGGAACTAAACAGTAGGAGTTATCACTTTGAATTTTACCATGCAAAATTAATAAATAATCAGTGTCTACTAATATGAGATTGGGTTTAAATTAAGTTGGCGTGGGATTTACTTATAGTTCCCGATATTTGAATTCAGTAAGGGAAATCCTGAATTTACTGTTATTTATATTATAATTATTTATAACTAATATCATTATTAAAAATGAAGTGCCCACCATTTAAAGGTAGTGATACTAATAATACTAACCTTGATTGCTGGAGAGCTGCCAGCTTGTCATCATTCTGCAGAAATATATTGTATTTAAACAGAGAAAACATGCTGTTGTCCCTCCCTCTCCTTATTCCCACAAACTGGAACAGTATTATGTTAGCATGAGTTGTGCTGAGCCGGATCCAATCTGGAATTAAGAATGCTCCAGGGCGTTTTTTAAAATCTGTCACTCATTTGAACTTTAACCTTCTTTAATTCACAGAATCTGGTAATGCAGATGTGTACTTCAGCAGCATACGTTTCTTTTTCTTTCTTTATCTTATTGTGAAACTGATGTTGGTGTGTGAGGACAGGACTTGGAAATGTGATGTGGTACAAGTAGAAAGTGTTCATTTAAAACAGATTCAAAATTTAAAAAGAATTGCAATAGTTTGGTTTCCTGGTTTTCTGCCATTCTGAAATGTAAAGTTAAATTCTGGTACTAATTTTATTAACATTCTTGAAGTACTGCCATCAGTTAGGCTTTCTGAAAGCCATAACAGCAGCCCTGCAGAGCTCAGTGGGCAGCAGGGCTGAGGTGTTTCAGGCAGTGCCAGCTGCCATAGGCAGACCTGGGCCAGCACTGACACAGCTGACACAGGGACAGTGCAGCACTGGGAGGCACTGAAGGGCTGCTTGGATTTCCAGGTACTCTACTGATACACAGCACTGAAATTGAGACACTTCTCTGTGTAAATAAATCTTAAAGACACCGTTGTGTTAATTTTTTTCGAGATGCTGTGTACCTGTATGCTCTGGAAAGAAACGTTTTGCTGTAGGTGTGAAAGCTAAAACTTTGCTCTAGTAGTACTGGACTTGCCTCCGTTCCATGCAGTAGGACTAGGAGATTGGAAATCAACATTTTCATTTTAATCTCAAAGGTGATATAGTTACATTCTTTTAATCATTCTAACACTGGTATCAAATAAGAGAATGGTGCTTATATTAAGAATTTGGAGACAAAAACTGAAAATTTGAATATGATAACTTCTTGGGTCAAATTTAAAAAGTGAAGGAAGAACTGGCTGGCAAATGTTGTGCTGAAAGTATAAATGAAAATATAAATTTCCAATCTGCATATGTTAATGATTTGTGGTTTGAAGAAATGTTCATATTCAGATTTTCAGTTTTATTTTCTCAAACTTAGACCTCTTTTTTTTCTAATAATACATAAGTATATGATTGATATACCTTAACAAATCTACAGTTTTGTTGTGTTTTTTTTTTTTCTTTTTTTTTTTTTTCTGAAGCCTTTAATTTCCTCAGATGGTTTAAAATGTGGACGTCTATTTTAGTACAGTCTTGCTCCTTCTCAGACTCCGTGGCTTGGTTTGTACTCCTTGCACTTATTTACAGAAGTGTTTCTTTACTGTTTGAATCGGAGGTTGAACATCATTAATTCCAGTGCTATGGACAATTCTGATACTGCCTTAATGAAATACAACATCTTAAACCCTGGAGGGTATCATATGCATCCCAGAATTGCATTGATACTTATTATAGTGTTTATAAGGATGTAGATGGAGCTGGTATAGAAGAGGTAAGTAATTTATGGATGATAGTCAAACAGTGTGAGTCCTACTCAATGTAATTTAGTAGACACTGGGTTATTAATTTTGCTTTATTGAACTTGTCATGTGGTTGGCAAGCAAAGCAATGAGTGTTTAGCTTGAACAAAAAAAGTGGTTCATAATCACTAATTGCACTCTACTAGAATTTAGATAACTGCAAACAACAATTGAACATGAACTTAGGGGGAAACATCTTTCTTTCTCTGTGAGCAAACTGATAATATGATCACAGCTGAATTTTTTCTTCCTTCAGAGAGGAGTCATGTGTAATCTTTGTTATTTAACTAACGCGATAGAATATAGCGTTGTTTTTTTTTTACCTTTAAATTTTATTTTCTGGAAGCAGGAAGTTTTTCTGAATTCCTGCAAGTAATTTACCCTAAATCCAATTGACATTTACCAATGTAAATGCTAACATTTACCTTACATTTTTTTTATTCCATACTTCAGAGATTCTTGGTTGTCTTGGGAAGAGTAGCCTGGTGGGTATGACAACAATGTGAATATGAACAACAGTGCATGCTACTGCTCTCCTTATGACAAGAATCAGAATAATTTGGGTTACCAGGGGGACCAACGGAGGCAACGCATTCTAAAACTCTGCTCAAAGCAGGGACAACTTTAGAGCTGGATCCAATTCCCTAAGTTTGTTCAGTCCAACTCTGAAAATACCCAATGTGTGGAGAATCTACAGCTTCTCTGAACAACCTGTTCCTGTGCTAAGTGGTGTGCACTTTTTGCTGAAAGGATATAGACAGTCATGAAGAGTTTTATGTTAAAATACATAACTATTATCTGAATCTAAAATTTCTTGTGATGAATTATCACCTCCCTGAACTACAATAATATAAATGATGCAGAAAATATTTGTAAATTGTGTCTGTATGTGACAGTGGCCTAGGTTAAATACATTGCTGGCAGTATGTGTTAGTGCTGATTTGTATAAATCTTACATGAAGATTCAGGATGCAAGATTGATACAAGATTCATAGAAACACTACTTTTTTTTTTTTAAATTATGTTCTGTTTGTTTTTCAAACAGGAATGGATATGAACAGCCACTTAGTTGAAGTAATTCCTTTTGTGTGTGAATGTATTCTTTACTTATTATGAAGAATATGGAGCTTAAAAAATTCTCTTTCTTTTAGGTAGAAGAACTGATGAATGCATTGGAAAAGACAAGACAAGAACTAGATTCTACCAAAGCCCGTCTTGCCTCAACACAGCAGTCTTTGGCTGAGAAGGAAGCACATCTGGCTAACCTAAGAATAGAGCGGAGAAAGCAACTTGAAGAAATTCTAGAAATGAAGTAAGTACATTGCTTTCTCAAATTTCTAGGAAAACTAATTTTTTTTTTTTCTAAAAGAATGTTTTTCTCCCTGTTTAAACCTATGATCTTCTAATAGCAGGACTGAAGTATCTTTGAAAATACAAAAAAGAGAGTGTTCATTTTGCTTATTACATTACATTCATTACATTACTGAACACTTAACACGATAAGAATTTTTGAATGCTACCTTTTGATACATGCATTAAAATATCATTGCAGTGTAACTTCCATAGGAATATTTAAGGCCCCGTCTTTCATTGAGAAATGTATATTGGAGTTTTCTTAGTATCATGAAAGGAAAGGGGTTCATCAACTTTGTGGATGGTGCAAAAATGATTGAATTGAATTAGTTAAAAAAAAAAAAACAAACACAAAACAAACACCTATCAGTGTACACATTATCACAATATATAAGCATACCATACTGACCTTTAATTAAATTTGTCTTCCTATGTTGATAAAGGAAAATGTCTTTAATAAGGCTTTAGCATGATCCTTAAAGTTAGCATTTGCAGAAAAGAAGTGAAGTTGTTGTGGCTTAGAAAACCCAGTAAGCATATAGTTAACAGTCAACAAATAAAACTCACTGTTCTAATTCCCAAACTGTTTTGTTGGGGAGAAAAACAACAAAAACAAAAGCAAAAACATTTGAAATACGTGTAGCTTTATCTAGGTAGTTGTCGCTATCCTGACATTTCAAAGGAAGGTAAATCATCAGAAAAAAATATCTTAATAATGCTTTAAAAAAGACAAGGTGGCAGATGGCCACATATGCTTCCTACAATTGTATAAAAGCAGATTTTAAGAATGGCTGCCATCTAATATAGGTATGGAAACACTAATCTTACAATGACTGCTTCCATGAAATCGAAAGAACTGCTTTTTATTTTAATGAGGTGTATATAAATTGGTAATATGTGTGATTTATAGTATTATGTGATATATTGAATATTATACACATTTGGGGGTTATTGAGTTTTTTAATGTACGTATTGGTTCACCTGTGATAACCTAGACATTCAGAACAGGCATTTTTCATGCAGACATCTATTTTCTATATAGAGCTTTGATCTGTTTCTTTGAGAACAAAACAAAATATATAAAATCGTATTACATGATATTAAGAACAGAAAGCACGAATAGTGAGAGTGAGTGACGCTATCAGATGATAATGAGTGAAATTTTCACACAATAATTTCTATTTATTGTTTCTTTGTTTTACCTCTTAGACAACATCAGAACTGAATCTAGGAAGAAGCAAAAACTGAACGTTTATTCATTTTTTGAGCTCTATGTTTGAGAAAAGCTACATAAATTCAATTAAACACAACATTGTCGAATTAAATAAGTGTGAACCTTAATTTTACTTAGGTCTACCAGATTATTTAACTTAATAAAATACACAAAACAACATAACTTAGATTGTGTATGTATTAGTAAAGTCTTTATAAAATAATTCAGATATTTCATTGCAGTACTTTTTTAATTTTTGAAATTGCTGCCTGAATAATTACTCAATGAACAAACTTTATAAAACTGCTATAATACATTGTACTACAAAAGGTCTTAAATTATTCTTTTGAACATGATACTCTCAAGAACAGATTGCAGATGCTAGCTAAGACCTAGAAACCCACTGACAGAATAATTACAATTTTGTTTTGTAGTAACTTAGTACAGTAGAGTTTCTTCATCTAGGTTCTCTCTGATACTTTAAGATAATTAATTAATTGGAAGAATTGACTGTAAATTCTATTTATCACTTAATTATTTGATATGGAGTGAGTATAGTTTCTTGGCTGCTAGTTTCCAGTTAAATAGGCATGAACTGTGTTTAAAAGCATTCATGATGATTTCCTATGCTTATATTATGTTCAAGTTCCAAACATAACTCTGCATTCTGTGTCCATCTGGCTGACATTGCCAAGATCCATCTTAATTTACAGACTACAATCGGTTGTCAGTTTTATGTAATTTCTCCAGTTGTCATTACATGCCCCCATATAAATTCAGTTATTTAAGGAAGTTTAGAGTAAAACTGGATAGGAGCTTAATCTTGTTCATTATCTGCCTAGTCTTTTTGAACTTGGAACTAGATAAGTACTATTTAAGGAAAAGTAGTTGGATGGAAGAAGATAAATATGAAGTTACTCTTATCTTGATGCCAGTATGTAAAAATCTGAGATTTATTCTTGTGAGTTCCTAAGTGCTAAAATTTGGAGGAGGTTTTTCATGTACTTTCACTTTCTAAACGTGAGACTTTATTTTTTTTTTTCCAAATGTCTATAAAAATATTAGTATATTAGTTCTGGAGGAAATATTTTTGTTATGGTCGTATTTTTGGGACAGTGTATAACTCATACTGACATTAATGGAAGTTACGGATTCATGTTAACAGCAAAACACACCATGTGTTCAAATCCATCACAATGCCTAATTGTCTTAATGTTTTATGCTCTTTCTGAGCATAACAAAATCAATGAGCTTATTTCATAATTACTGAGAGTGTTTTAAAAAAGACTTCCGTATTACATAGTGTGACAAAAGCCATTTTGAAACATTTTTTAAATATGTTTCACATTCATAGAAGGTTTCAATTGGCTTGAAATTAGAAATTGGCAGTTAAAAAGATATCTTTGTTTTTGTTTTCTGAAAGTTTGCAGTAAGGAGTGGAAACTACTAAGAACTTCTGGAGGATTTCTTAGAAATGCTCATTCATTTGTTTTTTACATTAATTTGATGACCTTTCAGTGACTTAGTTACATTTAACATTCATGGCAGTTAGCAGTCCATGACTAGGACATTAATTTACAAAAAACTGAACTTCATGTTTTGACTTGAAGACTGACTAGTGAATTCTCAACCTTTGAGATCCATGTTAATTACTGTGAATTTCCTTTAGTAGTCAACTCAGTACACTGAAGTTTCTGAATAAAATTCTTGCCAAGAATTTGTGAAGTGGGGTAATTTCATTGGCTTTAATGGAGTTCATGCCATCACCTGTGGGTATTACTAAACCAGTTTCGCTGGAAGTGACTTTGCCCTATAATTCACGTTGAATTTTCAGAAGAAAAAATACATGTTTTCTCTAATGTGGAATAAATCAGATTACTCCAGTAAGGAAGCATTAAAGATCTAATAAAATAACCAGCTACTAGTCCTTCAATTCAGTACCAAAAATAGATCATTGCTGTGCTGTGATTAAAAAAAAAAATAAATTAGATTTTTCAGTAGATGTTCTTAGTGACAGCATAAAATTAAACATCCCTTCCTTTGTTTAAGAATGTTCCCCATTTTTTCACTGAAAATAATAAATGAGTATTGCTTATCTCTGTTTTTCAGTATGTTTACTTTATTCATTTAACAGCACCTGTGTATAGTCAAGCATGAAATACTTGTGGGAAGAAAGGGATAAAATGTTTTTTCCACCAAGCATTCAGTCCTACCAGCTGCCACCCTTTGCGGGAGTGCTGTATGCGTACTTCAATTTTACCTCCTGGATTGGTCATTCAGCTGATTTGCTACAAAAGAACAGGGCAGCTGCATTTACCACTAAATGCCAATCTTGAATGCAAGACCATGGTTGGGATCTGTTTGTTTCAACAAGTTGTGGAGGAGCAGTTTCACAGAGCAAGAAAGTGATTTGTTGCTGGAAACTGCAGGGAAGTGAACCAGTGTGAGTTTGTTGGCTACTTTGCCTGACTTGTCCTCCTCCCCCCTTTTAGTGGATTTAATCCAGGCATGGATGCATAAAAATAGCCACAGGTGGGCTTTTCTGGATATTGCAGAGCTGTAGAGGGATCTAGAATGAATTCTAGAAGCCAAGGACTACAGCACAAGGAGAAGGCTTTATGATATGTAGAACTAGATAGTCACAATTTGTAGGGAATTCAAAATATTTCATGGAATATTACTGGCAGAGTATAAGGAAACTTAAAATTCATCTGGCTTTCCCCAGACATACCCCCATATTTCCATCAATAAATTTTACTCAAGTAGAAGTTGGGGATTTCATGTCTGTATAGTAGCTTAGCAGGAGCTGCATGACTGGTGCATGTTTGGAGAACACAGACATTTTTCCAACACCTGGGTAAATCAGATTGTGTCCCTGCTTTCATTCTTCTGTTACTTTTTCCATCCATCACTATGCAGACTGGTGCTTGGGGAGGGAAAGGAACTCAACATATTTTTGCCTAGTTACATCCTACCTACTCCACCCCTAGAGTTTCTGTTACCCACAGCACAGTGGTTTCTTTCTCACCACCGTGGCTACAAGGCTACAGCTGTGGTCAAAATTTCTTCTGAAATCTCTCTGTGAGCAGCAAATCCAATGCATCTAGAATATTTCAGAGTAATTTTGTATGCAGCTCACCTGTTCAGTGAATGCATAGGCCAGAAGCATGAAACTCATTGGCTGGAAAATCCTTGGTGAAAGTCTAAGGCCTTTACTTGCATGTAGTCATTAATTTGTTTTCCTTTTTGGGGGGGATCTTCCAAACACAGCGAGGATGAAGAAAACAGTGCTGTAAAAAGGGAGAAACTGGCGAGGTGATTGAAGTTTGCAAATACGCTTTGAAATTTCTTGGAGCTCACTCTTTAAAACCATTTAAAATGTTATCTTCCCTACGGCCACTCTCTGCTTCCTGTGCTAATAGTTATGCAGTGGTTTTATTTTGTGTTGTTTTCTTTTTTCTTTCTTGAAAAAGAAAAAAAGCAAAAAAGCAAGGAATTAGATTATTCTTGCCTAGGCTAGGAATCAAGGTGTTATAAAAAAAAAAAAAAAAATGTAGGCAAAATATAGTTTATACTTGTTTTATAAATGCTGTTGTATTAAAAGATTGTCTGAAAAAGAGGCAGCACCTATCTTGAACATAGTTCTCAGCTAAATAAATAGTGATGGATACAGGAAAATAAAGGATAGTCTTTGAATTGAGTATTAAGCAAATACAGCAGTCAGAATTCTTAGACTATTAATAAGG